CAGACAGACAGACAGACAGACAGACAGACAGACAGACAGACAGATAGATAGATAGATAGATAGATAGATAGATAGATAGATAGATAGATAGATAGTCACAAGACACAATAGTAAGGTACACAAATAAAAGCCAAGTTAAAAAAATAAAATCATAACAAATCTACAAGAAACATAGGTTGAACCAGAATTGCAAATTTTTGTGCCACTTCAGAAAGCAGAACTTAATATCAGAATATTAGTATCTTAGCTTCTTCATCATCAGTGGTTTTTTTAATAGAAGAAAGAGAAAGAAAAAAGTGAAATGTAATGAGAAAGAGTGAAAGAGAGATTAGAAGATATGTGAAATATATGTTGAGAAAACACAAGACAGCACACCCGACTTCTTGGCTCCACACCTACAAAAACAAAGAAAGCAAAACCACAGCAAATAAATGCACATCTATATAATTATAATGACTATAGCCTTGCTGAAAACCATACCCATATACATATATAAATTTATACATATGCACTTAAACATACAGAAGTGCAAAATTAATAATACTCATGTTTTGTCACACAGGAATAAATCTGACATGGTTTTTAAAAAAAGGACAGCAAAGTACATATTCCAGGAAACATGTTATTGGTTGGGGGTGTATTTGTGATCAGCTGTGTGATCAAATCAAGCTTTTGAACTTATTTATTTAGTACAAAGAGATGGGAGACCTGCTAATTAAATACAATTCATTTGTTACAACGTGTTATACTCACTCCAGTCCAGTAGGTGGCGGTGACGCACCAAACATTTTGAAGCGGCATTAAAAGAAGAAGGATGTAAGCCCAGCTAGCTTTGTTTGCTGTCACAGTTGATATTTACAGAAGTGAAAGTGGCTGTATTCGCGTAAATTTCTCTTGTTTTGTGTTTTAAATCACATTTAAACGTATCATGAGTACGACTCCGTCATCAGTTTTAAGCTAACCACGTTACGTAGAGTGTTAGCTTGAAAACTCCTTCGTTGTTGCTTGCTAGCTGGCAGCAAGGGTACGTATTTTTTTATTTCTGTTCACGATTTATTCCAGAATTTATACTAAAAGAAACAAAGTTTTCAGTCGGAGCATTTCACCTGTAAGAATTAGGGGAAACATACAGGAAAAGCCAGCATATTATCTAGTTGCTGCTAGCTTGATATTTCCTCTTAGACCTAACAGAGCACCGCTGACTGTCTGCTCAGTTTAGAGTCAGGCCGATGGCAGACCCTGCAAGGATAAAAACCGAGGAGAAGACGACTTCTGTTGACGAGGAGCATCATGTCAAGACAGAACAACCTGAAAACCCATCAGAGCCTGAAAAATCTGCAGAAGAAAGTAAAGAGTCGACCGCGCAAGATCAGCCTAAAGCAGCTCCTGTGAGTTGACTTCATTCTAACTCAAAGTAGCACAGAAACAGTAAAAGACTCAGAATGATACATTTAGTCATGTATTTATGAAAGGAGCAAGAGAGAAAGCGTTAGTATTTGCAGTTTATGACGATCAGTTGTAAATGGGAGCCCCGCTTTAGTTGTTTTGTGATTGGAAATCACAGAAATGTAGACAGATTAACAAGATCGTGACCTTATTTTCACATATTTGTATGCAGATGCATGACCACATCTGAGCTTGATTTAGCTGCATCATGTGAAAGAAAAGGTCTTGCAGGAAAAAAAAATGCTGCTGCAATCGATGATACTAAAAACCTGGAATGTAGAAGTTGTATTTCTAAGCTAATGAATAATTTGTCAGTCTCTGACATGCTACATGAATATCTAAAAAGGTACAAAGTAATGGAAATACTTTGTGTAATTCTTGCCTTTTAAATGCATATCTTCTGTCCTCCAAAAATAAATAAGTAGGTAAAATGAACCACCACTGGTCTACAATGAACAACTTGTCTGAATATTTCATCTGAATATAAAATGCCATTTATTTTTATTATTTTTAGTTTTCATAGATTTCAAATAATTTTGAAACAGCTTTAAATAAGTGTTTATAAAGAGGAAGAGAATACTTTAGTATTAGATGTATTTGTTTTTCCAAATTAACAAGCCACATATACAGATGTTATCATATACTGTATATGTATTAGTATTAAAATGTTTAAAATAAACAAAGCTTTTGAATTAAAAAAATATTTTTCTTGGTCTTACTATTTCTTGGAAATATTCCGTTTCGAAGCAAAGGTTGTTGCAGATCTTGTGTACAAATCTGGTCTTAAATCAAATAAAAACAGTGAAATGTCCGAAATAGAAACATTTTACATTTGAATGGTTGTATGAATCTCATTTATAGCAGCCCTAAAGAGATATTTTCTGCTGTAAAGGAAGCAGCAACAGGAGATGATGAAGAGGAGGGAACCTCTGGTCAGCCTTCTGCGAAAAGACTGAAGGTGGAGCCAGAGAAGAAGAAGGAGAAGCGCCACAAAGTCGACGAAGATGAGATACAGAAGATGCAGTAAGACGATCATTTTTTCATTCCGCAGACATGTGTTGTTTAAAATCTCCATCCAGGTTAATGTCTAAATCTTCGCCATCATCCCACGTTTTCCTCAGAGTTTTGGTGTCGTCCTTCTCAGAAGAGCAGCTGAATCGTTACGAGATGTACCGACGCTCTGCCTTCCCAAAAGCTGCTATTAAGAGGGTGAGCTCTTTATAAAAACTAACGTTTTCTTTATTAAATCCTCAAAACTGGAGTATCGGATGTTTGTTTATGTACCTTTTTTTTTTCTAGCTGATCCAGTCTATAACAGGCTCATCGGTGTCTCAAAATGTGGTTATTGCCATGTCTGGTATCGCCAAGGTTTTTGTTGGGGAAATAGTTGAGGAAGGTAAAAAGAGAGATTTACAAAACAAACCATTCAGATGAAAAAATGAAAATACAAAGTAAATGATAATCATTGCTTTTTCACCCCCCTTCTTATAGCCTTGGATGTTTGTGAGAAGTGGGGAGACACACCTCCTCTTCAGCCCAAGCACATGAGGGAGGCAGTGAGGAGGCTGAAGAGCAGAGATCGGATTCCTAACACCAAGTACAAACACATGGTGTTTCACTGAGACAGAGCAGAAGATCCTGATCCACACGTGGAAACCCTCACATCAATCAGCTCTTCTGTGTCCCAACAACCCATACAGTTCAATTTCTGACTGTTTTTTTTTTTAACAGTTGAACTGTGATGTAAAGCCAGAAAGTGGACGGTTAAGGACTCGATCTAATAAAATGTAAATACAAGTTTTATCATTAAATGTTTAAAGATTGTGCCTCATTTAGCTTGTTAGATGCATTTCTTATCGTAATATAATCGGCAGATTTATTACTAAAATCTTTTTTGAAAATAAAATAAACTCAGTTATACAAGGGGAAAATTCAAAACTTAGTCCAAATCAAGGGTCGATTTCTGTCAATACGTACGACAAATGTTATAAATAATCCTTACAGAAATATAAATGAACATCTAAATTGTGTTTAATGTAGCATTTAGAACATATACAGCGGGTAAAATAAGTATTGAACACGTCACCATTTTTCTCAGTAAATATATTGCTAGAGGTGCTAATGACATGTAATTTTCACCAGATGTTGGTAACAACCCAAGTGATCCATACATACAAAGAAATCAAACCATAAATGTCCAGAAATGAAGTTATTTGTAATAATGTGGAATGGCAGAGGGAAAAAGTATTGAACACACTTCCTGAAATTTATCTAATACTTTGTACAAAAGCCTTTGTTGTCAATGACAGCTTCAAGATGCCTCCTGTATGGAGAAACTAGTGGCATGCATTGCTCAGGTGTGATTTTGGCCCATTCTTCCACAAACAGTCTTCAAATCTTGAAGGTTTCGTGGACCTCTTCTATGAACTCTGATCTTTAGTTCTTTCCATAGATTTTCTGTTGGATTCAGGTCAGGTGATTGGCTGGGCCATTCCAGCAGCTTTAGTTTCTCTCTCTGAAACCAGCTGAGAGTTTCCTTGGCTTTGTGTTTGGGCTCATTGTCTTGCTGAAATGTCCAGCCACGMTTCATCTTCATCATCCTGGTAGATGGAAGCAGATTTTTATCAAGAATGTCTCTGTACATTTTTCCACTCATCCTTCCTTCAATTATTTGAAGTTTGCCAGTACCATATGCTGAAAAACAGCCCCACACCATGATGTTCCCACCTCCAAACCTCACTGTTGGTATGGTGTTTTTGGGCTGATGTGCAGTGCCATTTGACCTCCAAACATGATGTGTATTCTGGCATCCAAACAGTTCAGTGTTGGTCTCATCTGACCAGACTATATTCTCCCAGTATTACACAGGCTTGTTTAAATGTTGTGCAGCAAACTTTAAAGGAGCTTCAACATGCTGTTTCTTCAGCAGTGGAGTCTTGTGTGGTGAGCGTGCATACAGGCCATGGTGGTTCAGTGCATTACTTATTGTTTTCTTTGAAACAAACGTACCTGCTAATTCCAGGTCTGTCTGAAGCTCTCCACAAGTGGTCCTTGGCTCTTGGACAACTCTTCTGATAATTCTTTTCACTCCTCTGTCAGAAATCTTGTGAGGAGCACCTGGTCGTGATCGGTTTATGGTGAAATAATGTTCTTTCCACTTCTGAATTATGGCCCCAACAGTGCTCACTGGAACCTTCAGAAGTTTAGACATTCTTCTGTAACCGATGCCATCATTATGCTTTGCAACAATAAGGTTGTGAAGGTCTTGAGAGAGCTCTTTACTTTTACCCATCATCAGATGGTTCTTGTGTGATACCTGGTCATCATATGGGACTGAACCAGCTGATATTAACTTGCACTGACAAGGGGCAGGCTTGCTTTCTAATTACTGAGAGAGTTCAGCTGGTGTCTTGGCTTTCCATGCCTTTTTACACCTCCTTTTCTTCATGTGTTCAATACTTTTTCCCTGTGCCATTCCACATTATTACAAATAACTTCATTTCTGGACATTTATGGTTTGATTTCTTTGTATGTATGGATCACTTGGGTTGTTACCGACATCTGGTGAAAATTTCATGTCATTAGCACCTCTAGTACTATATTTACTGAGAAAAATGGTGACGTGTTCAATACTTATTTTACCCGCTGTACAACCTAATAGGTAAATAAATATTAATATTAAAATTAGACTCTTATTTTGTTACACCTATTTAACATTTTCATTGATTATATCTTAGATTACATTTTATCATAATACAGCAAATCAGGTAACCCTCACAAAAAGTCCAGTTATTTAATGTTAAAATAAAAGAATATGGCAAAAGATAAAAGCAGGGTTCATGCAGGTTTCAGTAAGTTAAATTTAAGACCTTTTTAAGACTATTATAACTGACATTTAAGACCAAACCGATGCATAAACAAGCATTCAAATGGTCCCAGAAATTTTAACATAATTTTTTTTATTGTCATCACGTTAATGAAACGGTAATATCTATGAGACCTTCATATCGACTGCTGTGGACCGCTTCCAACAGAGTGCAAAAATCACTGAGATGAAGCCAAGTCTTATTGGAAACACACTTTCCCATGTTCAAACAACAAGCAGTGGACATGACTGAATTTCTTAGTTTTTTGAGTGGGTGAACAAGTTGTCGTATGCAGGGGGCTGTACTTGCTAAAAGGTCTAAAATATAAACGGTGCCGTTTTTTACCTGCATTTATCACAGGATTTGTAGTTCAATCACGTACTAAGACCGGTAGCAAACTTAGCACTTCAGCCTCTGATTACGGCACTTAAATCTGTTTATGCAGCAAACGCTTCTCTGGAATGAATGAAAGTAAACAATTAAGACTTGACAAAATTAAATTTAAGAGCTTGGATTAAAATCTGGGTGTTTTTAAGACTTTTTTAGGCCTAGAATTTTGATTTTCAAATTTGAGACATTTTTAGACTTTTTAAAATCCTGCATGAACCTGTAAAAGGTTGAATTTTGCTCTTTCCACACCAAAATTAAAGATGACTAAAAAATTCTAACTTAATTTTCTCAGCTTCAAAGTTGTTCAGCTGTCATGAGAATAATGCACTAATTAAAATAACTATTTCCCATTTACCCTTGGGGCCGGTTCAAATGTAATCGAGGGCCAGTTTTGGCCCGCCGGCCTTCAGTTTGTTACAAGGTTTATAAGGAAATAACTTATGAGGCAATAACAGCAATAAAAATAACACCACAGCCAAAACATGTTTTAACATTTTATTTCCTCTCTGACTTAAGCTTTGGTTCACAGAACCAGTTTTACATTAGTTTTAATGAAGTGATGAAAACCATACAAAATTTAATGTTACACAACAGACCAAAAAAAAAAAAAAAAAACAATACTGTCCAGTTTTTCTCCTCTGTGTTCCTTTAAAGTGATCAACATTAAAACAAGTGCAAAGTCGTCTACGAGGCATCGGTAGAAATAAAATAAATCACTTCAGCACATGCATGTGGAGCCTCTGCTCATCTCCCTGCGCGGCTCAGAGGCTGCGAGCTGTTGTGGAAACGGTCGACCTTGCCTTCGAGTGCAAAGGAAGTCCAGCGTAACAGGTTATGAGGAAATTCTAAACGCAAAGCACCAGTTTGTCAGAGGAACAGAGATGCTACTTTAAGTCCTGACAGAGAGGAAGGAAGCAGAGGGAAACCTTTCAGGGCTACATGTAGTTTCATACCATCACACTGTTGTTTTATTAAGGCCATGCAGAAACAGAGAGCAACAGCTAAGAAGAAAAAGATACACAGATACACGTTTAAAGTCTGCATGCAGCCGAGGGAATCTGACAAACGACACACATGAAGTTCCACATAAAAAGTAGCGTTTAATTTGAACGATATGTTTCAAGTAAAATGTTTTCCTATTGCTTAACGGGCAACATTCCTCTGAAAGAATGTAAACAGGTTTTGTTTGTTTTTGTTTTTTTAGCCTGCAGCGCAGCAACATCAAACTGATCAGATCATTTAACGGGGACCAGTAGTGACAAATCTCTGCCACCAGGTGTCTCCAACGTACCTTTACACTGTTAAAAACAGCTCAAATGATATAAGTAAAACCCTGTTAGTTTATAACAAGTTAAATGATAAAAAAAACACTTTTACTAAAAATAACCTGATTCAACATCACACTGCAGATTTGTTTCTTCAATAAAAGTTTGTTAAATTTAGCAACTAAAACATTGTTTTCTAGTTATTTTTTGTTTGATAGATCACAGTCTTTAAATAATACTTTCTTTGACTGCCATGGCTTCAGTGTGGCTGTGCATCGGATCCAGTAAACACAAATTAATCCAAATAAATACACACAAATAAAAACAAATGTGTCTGAGCTGATCGACCTCATGAGTTGTCTTTTGGCGAGCTACAGACGCCGTTTCGACAAGACTCCTGGAAGATGGTCTGACCCTTGAAGTTACGTCTCCAGAGCGGAGGGGACAGACTGTAGGAAGTGTTGTCTTCAGTGGACGTTGGCCCACACGACAGATTTCACAGTACGAAAGAAACATGACCGTTTCGCAAGTCTTAGAACAACAAAACACTGGAAAATAATCCAACAAGCTTTTTAAAAAACAAACAAAAAAAAAAAACAAAACAATGAGAACTTGATAAAGTCCACCTGCTGATAAAACAATAAAATGTAGAGGTCTTAAAGGAAACCCAGACTACATGCAACATTAGACATTTCATAAACATTTACTTCAACTGTAACACAAAACCTGTAGAAATACTGTATGATGGTGGACAGAGCTGCTTCATGGAAGGAGAGCTATATATATATATATACACACATATGGCTAAAGCTATATCACCATATGTGTATGTATTAGCTCAGGCGCTAACATGAAAACTAACTAAGCTGATGTTGAGGCTGTTTGGCAGTTGAAGTAAATGTTTATCAAATAATGTCTAATGCTTCTAACAGGGTTCCCTTTAAATTAAAAAGTGCTTTTTTTCCTCTTCCACTTCTTACAAAACAATATTACCCAACTATACTTCAAAACGTAAACTTAACCTTCCACACAAAAGTAAACTACCAATAAGTCAAGCTGTGCTGCCGCTAAAAGAAAAAAAAGTGCTACAGTTGTAATTTAGTTAGCACGGTTCACTAGGCATGCTCTGTCACAGAAGTGGTTGGTGGCTGAGCAGCTGTCTGGCAGTGTCTGTGCAAAATGTCCGTAACACAAGTGGAAAGAATTAAAGCTTCATGGTTTTGCATGCTGTGATTTTTTTACAGTGAAACCACACAATGACATTACAGCCCACACTGATCTCAACCAAATAAAATTAAAAATAATAGTCGTTTTTTTTATAGTTTAGCACAGCAGTGAGGAATATCAGAGTGTTTGATAAAAAAGAAAAATAGTACCATTTTTGTACCTAAATGTTATTTCAGAGTTCCCCTTAGGGAGGTTTTTTTTTCGTACGAACCGTATGAATTTAGTGAACAAGCTGAAAGTGATCCGAAGCCATGATTTGGATCCATCGTCCACTTTCTTCTGTGCGTTTTTCTGAATTCTCTTGACTGAGGTGAGCTGATTCGAAGGATCAGAGTGTGAAGGTGGGGTTGTACCTCCTGACCTCCAGAAGGAGGCGCTCTTGGTCTCTGAGGGCCTGAGACAGCGCAGCCTGGGTCTGGCAGAGCTCCGACTCCTCTGTTCGTCTCTGCAAAGACAGGATTATGGGATTGGTTAGTGACAGGTGACACCTTGGCACTAAAGACCGCATGGCTTTTTAATGAAGTCAATCACAAGTAGGTGTTGTTACAACACTGTTACACAATCCTGTGTACTCTGACACACACCTCTGCTTTTGTTTACTGGTAATTAGTTGTGTTTATCACTGCTGATCTATCACCTGAAAAATAAAATAGTGACTTTAACTCAGAAGCAATAAGCCCTCTAGAACAGTGTTTAAACCTCTGGATTACATCCATTACTCTTTTCCTAGAATTAGATTAAATAAAGAGTTTTTCTGAATTAATATTCATCAGTGGTGTGTTTTATAATGGGACATCAAAATTTCAGCTGTGCAGGAGTTGAAAATGCAGCTCCACAGGCTGGTTTGACAGAAATTTTGTTGAACTTTTTTTAAAAAAATATGTTTAATGTTTCAGCAACAATCTGTGACTCGTTCTGGGCGGAGCCTCGTTAACGTTTTGAGACGTTTTGGTTTCGTTCTTCGACACGACACAAACTGCCGCAGCTCAGTCCGATTCTGAGATACGGTCCTGAAATTCTGCAAATTGTTTACGGGGCTGAATAACTCGACTGCTTGCACATCTGCAGAAACCTTTGTTGTTCTGCAGATTATTCTGAGCAACCATCAATGCATAAATATCAACATTCAGCTCCTTTTAGTTTAATCTTTTTTTTCTCCCGTACCTTTTTCAGCTCGTATCCATTTCTGAAATTTTTGTGCCTTTTCAACAATTCATATAACAAAATGTTCGGCTCCTTCAGGACATTCTGGCTATGGCTTTTGGCACTTCAGTCATTTATACTTTTGGAGATATTTATCTTTTTCATCCATATTTTTTCCTCAATAAAAATGAATGGAGCTTCAGCATCCTTAAAACCCTTCAAAATCTTTACTGCACTTTACAATTTGTTCTGGTTCTGCTTTTTTAAACTCCTTTATGCTAATTTTAGCTTCCTTCGGCTGCTGTTTTGCTGATTTGAGCTCGTTTCTGCTTTTTAAGCCATCATTCTGACCTGCTATTCTTCAGCTATTTTAAACTTTTATTTTGTTTCTATAACTTTCTTTTCTTCAGATATATTTCTACTCCTTTTACTTTTTATCAAATTTCCTTAATTTTTGTGCTAATTTTAAATAGAAATAAACACCGAATAACTTTATAAATCATCACTAGAGCTAAATCAGATATGGTATTTCTTTATACCTCAGTCTGGTGCTGAACAGAGGTGAAGTTGTTGGAGTCAGCCCGAGTTGTAAAGTCCACCACAGGTTTAGTGTCCGTGCTTTCAGCTGCAATCAGAAAGAAAATGATTGTGAGCCCCTTCTGTTCAACTTTCTGTAAAGCTGGGATTGTTTTGGTTTTAAGGTTTTGTAGTGGTCACCCTGGGTGGAATAAACGTTCCACCTGCCTTTGAACTTGACCACGGAAGGCCTCCTTTAAAGAACAGAACTCTATTCATTTTTATGGTCATAACATGTTTTCTTAAACAATTAAGGGACATTTTATTTCATTTTATTCTCTATAATCAAGATAATAAACAAAATAGTAATGTTCTTTATATGTTTTGACTTTACATATTTTACTTAAGCAAAAGTTATTTCTTAATTAAAGTTATCATTTTAAAGTTAAAGTTATATGCTTAACTGAATGACAACTTATGTTCTTCTCACTATAACCAGAGAAAAGAAAGAAAGTCACAAAAGATATCATTTTAATGTTTATTTTGTGTATGTTAATCAACCATTATTTGAATATAAGGTGATTATGTTTTTCTATTTTTGATTCACTATAAAAGTGTATGATTTTCTAGTTATGTAGAACAGAGGTTGATGTGAGAAGTTTCACTAAAAGTCCTGGGTTAACAGCAGCAACTTTGAGCATGCAAAACAGGGTTTGTTTTGTCTACGAGGCAAACGTTCCCATGAGAACTTTCTACTCTCCTATAACGTTCTGGTTCACACCTGTTAACAACCAAGGTCGACCGAGAGGCTCTCTCTCTACCTCCTTTCTCTTACTTTTCTATACTAACACGGACGACAGTCCGGTAGTCTTTTTGTCTTGGTCGACAACAGCAGTTCGACTGGAGTCTGGCGCGGGTCAGACCAAGGACTGCCTGGTCTGGTCTCTCCAGCAGAGAGCAGAACATTTGTGGTGAGGATTTTAGCTCATGAGCCAAAGAGCTAAATCTTCCCACTAGCCTAACGACGACGCCAGTCGTGGGCGCCCAGCACCTCTCTTTGAAGTTGAGGACTACAGAGAGACGCTTTTGTTTTAATCTGGAGAAGCCAAACGACGGAGTGTCAGATTGACACGAAACCGGACCGACCCAGATAATCAACTTCCTGAAGCTGAGTCCGGAGCAGTGCTGACGGTCCTAAGCGGACTCAGAGGTCTGAAACCTGGACACCTTCTAAGCTTACCTGACTGACGTCTGAAAAGGTAAAAGCTGAACGTTGATTACAAAGTGTCGGGAGTCCTGGCTGTGTCATTAAGGATCGCTCCATCCTTCTGGCTTTTTACAGTATTAATAAGATAAAATCTAGTTCACTCCCCATAATAACCACTTTTCTACCTAAACTTAACTTTTACTTCACTCTTACTAAGAATTTGCCTCAATTAGGTTTATTTAACATCAAAGAACCTTYTTGTGTCATATAAGTTGTCAAATTAACGAGATTTAACCCTTTTTAAGAGTTAATGGTTGATTTAAACTTATGTAAAACCCTTATCCATCTTCCAATGAGTTTGTATGTAAATAATTGTTTTGTAAAATAAATATCATTTATTTTTAGATAAACTTTATTGACTACGATACTCATTGTCAAAGTCTTGGTCATAATAAAGGTGATGGTTATTATTATTAGTATTTAAAATCGAAAAGAACCCGTTTCCTCGTATATTAACTATATTAATATTAGTCGATATTAATTAGGTTAAATATGAGAAGTTATGTTGGAGGTAATCTCTACAGTTTAAACCAACTGTTTGTTGATTCGTTAAAAAAAAAAAAAAAGATTGTCATCTAGCTCACCTTTGACTCTCATCATGCCATCATCACTTCGCTCAAGCAGAAGCTGATCAATAATGAACTTAGCTGGAACAGGTTGTGGAGCTGTGGGGTAGATTTTGGGGCCATCATCCTAAAAAAGACGAAAAAAAGGACGTGAAACTAATTTGTTAGAATTAGTAGGTGGCCATAGGGGCTCAAAAGATGACATCATCAGGATGGCCTGCCTTGATAACGACGGTGACGTTGTGCAGGTGTAACCTCAGTGGCTGACCGTCGACGCTGAATTCGTCTTCCAGGAAGGGGCCGATGTTAGTCACCGTTGAGGCCAACAGCTCTGCCTTACAGTTCTGAAGTCGAACGTCCAGAAAGCCAGAGGACTCAGCCAGAGCAGAGCGCTGAGCTGCAGCTGGACCCGTTTCTGCTCGCATGAGAAAGACAGGAGAGTTGCCGCTGCGCTGGCAGTCCTGCTTCTGGGCCGGTTCTCCTGCAGCTGCAAGAACCCAGAGAACGAGATGTTAAAACTGACGCCACACCCTGCTCCCTCTCTGATTAATTACATAGTTATAGTACCATAATTAAAGAGATAATAACTCATGATTTTCCAGTGTGGAATGGTAAAACAACATATAATTTCAATTATTTTTTGAAAGCTTGAACTTATTGAGGATTTCCATTAAATAGTAATAATAAATGGCTTGAACTTATATAACATTTTATCAAGTCCCTACAGACTCCAAATCACTTTATCATTCACACTGATTAATTCACTAGGGCTCAAAATTAAACATGTAAATTTATTAAAAACCAGGAGAAAATGAATAATATGACAAAAAAAATAGAAATATTTTTTTAAGAAAAGTTGTAGTAGCTGATTTTCAGAGGGCTTTTTTTATTACGTTTGGGCATGAGGCTTGTTTAAAACACATCATGTTTGGTTCACACGGCAAGATTTTCAAATTGTCAGCTGATTTTCAAAGACTGAGTCCCTGCACATGACAATAAAAAAATCATAGATTTAACAGGTTTGGTTCTACAGTGTGTGGTGTACAGCCACACACTCACAACACACAACAAACCAACAGATTTCACTCACAAACATTCAGATGTCAGACGGGAAATTTTGCGAGACCTCTCAAGATCAAACGTTCAGAGGAAATAAACACGGTCGACAGTGATAGTTTGTGGACTATCTTTAACAGAGAAAAAAGAAAACAAAAAGTTGTCTCCATGCCAGTTGTTTTGGCTTCACTCACCCTTCAACCAGTTTTTGATTGGCTACATGTCACATTCAACAGAGGAACACCACATATCCTGGGATATCGGGTCAAGACAATCCAACACGTTGAATATCCTGATTTGAGATCGGAAAAGGTCCCAACATCCTTCTAAGCCAACTATATCACTCTTAACACTCCAAACACGACAGGAATATCTCTAAGATTATCTTTAGAGCCATCATCGGAGCGTCCATAAGCTTAGGGCAAAACTGGACCAAATATCAGAACAATGATCTTGCCGTTTGAACCTCTTTTTCAATGAGTTAATAAACATCTGAAACTAACGTCAAAGGTGAAGGTAATAACCCAGGTTACCTTGTACAAGACCAGCCAGAACATCTGACTGCCTGACGTTGCCCAACTGTACAGGGGTCAGATTCAGTGCTTGGACAGCCACAACCTGGTCTTCTCCTCGGACCTCCATGGTGCAAGCTGTACCACTCAGGACTAACAGCAACACTGAAGACTGACAGAGCATCAGATTTAAACTACTGAACATAAAGATTTAAAGTGACACTTTAAAGGGTTTGTGGATTATTGGACACAGTAGCTCACCATGTCCTGGGATATGTCCTCTATACTTTGGGACAGGGAACTGCTCAGATCGGCCGATGAGCGTCTCTCCGTCCCCGGGGCTGGGCTGCTTTGGCTGCCTGCAGGCGTGTTGTTGGGGCGCACGGACTCCACGCCTGATTCTGAAAACATGATAAAACACTTGAAATCAATCTCACTTGTGCAGCTTGGAGAACTTTTTAAAGAGAACTCGGCCGTTTTTAAACACCTGAGTCCACGAGAACAACAAAGTTGTCGCTGAAATCACTATCGACAGACAGATTGTCATCCGGCAAGCTGCCGTCCAAAATAGCGCTGTCGAAGGACGTCTGAGAGTTGGACTGCTTCAAGGACTGGAGGCGTGACGAGGGGGGGGATTCTTCTGAGCGTGGAATCTGCTCCCTATGAGCACACACACACAAACACTCACACACTCATTAGGAAGCACTCAGTGGCACCATGTGGTGCACAGTATGGGCTTCAGACAACACAAACACACAGCAGATGCCCAGCAAGGGGACACTTGCCTCGTTGGAGCGCTGAACAGCTTGCTCATGCCTGAACCACGACTCAGCATGCTGAAGGCGTCTTTCGTTATGGAAAACGCCCCTTTGGTCAGGTCCAGCGAGGCACTGATGGCGTCTTTGGTCACGTCCTTGGTGACGTTAATTGCGCTCGAAAGCTCTCCCTCCAGGCTGAAGGTGGACGGCTCGCGGGACATGACCGGGGAGGGTCCAGGGGAAAGGGGAGGCGAGAGACCGGCGGGCTCCTCCTTCGCTGTGAGCCCGCTGACCTCCACCACCTCCTCCATGGCCTCAAACGCCTCCTCCACCACACCGTCGTGTTCGTCCCGAGTGAATACAATGACCGCTGCTGCAATGGATGACACACCGTTTGTTAACCCGCTGTCCTCTGGGACGTCGACCGGAAGATGAGTGGGAGAAAAGTCAGAGTCCGTCATGCTGGGGCTGTCCGTTTCTGGAGAGTGGGGGACTTCTTCTTCCGGCTCAGAGGAAGCTGGTGGCAAAAGGAGACCCAGTTTCACCGAGTCCACCAACAGAGAAAAACACACTGTAGGGGGATTTGTCTTCTGGCCACGAATCTGTTTAACGCCTCGTACGTCCCGGCTCAGCTCGGCCCCCAGCCGGGCCATGGCGTCCTTCATCCTCAGCAGGGCGACGTACTGGTAGTGATTGAGCCACATCCTCAGCGGAGTGATTGTGTGAGCCAGGAAATGAAAAGAGGCAAACAAATCTTGGTGCTGACGAGCACCCTGCTCTGAAGAATTTACGTGGTCTCCGTTGGGACTAGAAGGGGAACTAGAAGGTGATTGACCTTTGACGGCAGCGGGTGGTTGACACATCCACACGGACATGGCAAAGGGCTCGATGAAAGGTTGGGTTTTGCCTTTGGGGAATCGCCGTGCTCCATCGAAACCCAGCGTGACACGGGACAGGCTGAGAGACCAGACGTCCTGGGAGCGCAGCTGCCTCCTGTCCAGAGGCTGGGCTTCTGCTTCTTGAGCGTGCCGGAGGAAACAGGAAGGGAGGGGGTGGAAGGCGCTCAGGTCTCTGGGGTAGGGGCAAGGAGGCGTGGGCTGGAAGAAAGAGCGGCCGGAGAACTTCTCACAGGTGCTGCTGAGGTCCGCTTTGGAGCCGTGGGGGCAGTGGCGGGTGTTGCTGACAACAATTTGGGGCATGACAACGGAGAGGGACTGAGGACGCTCTGGATGGTCCAGTATGGATGAATCTAGAGGAATTATCAGCTGGGAGGGAAAAACATCACCTTAATTGTGTACAACTAAAGGTGAAAGAGAAAAAGCTACAAAAGCACCACAGTCCAGTGTTTACCTTAAGTTGAGCAGCATCCAGGCGGACGTCCATGTGCTCATCAGCCTTACTGCTGTCCTGCAAATGGTAGAAAGCTTTGACCTGGTCCAGGGTGTGCAGAAGACCCCTGGAAAACAGGTTGATCCACAGCATGCTGACTGGGTCCACACAGAGCTGGAGGCCGTTTAGCTGAGCATACAGTTTGGAAGTAGGTGCTGGGAGGAAGAAAACAGTAGAATACAATCAGAAATCATACAATAAATATTATAATATGTTCTTAAATATTACAGACTAAATATTAAGCAATAAATGCAAAAACTCAAGTTTCGCTGCTGTTAGCCATCTTAATTGGTAACAAACTTACCAGATTACAGAGTCAACAACATACACTGTGTGCACAATTAGGCAAGTCTTATTTTTGGGAAATATTCTTATTAATCAAAAACTACAGTGCTCTTGGTTCATCCAAAATGTTAATAAACCTCAAACGAGATTGTTTAAGAAAGTAAAAGTGAGGTTTGGGCTTACTTAGAATATATGTGCAGATTATTATGCAACTAAATGAAAAACACACATTTTCCCATCTCACCTTTTTATTTTCATCTGGTTAAGTGAGAATTATAAACTACTCAAAACTTTCCAATAAACATTTCTGACGTTTAAAATAAAAGTGACCAAATAGACACCCTTCTTTTCAATAACAGTGATAAGTCTTCCATTCATTCTGTCAGTTTCTAGAGATGTGGACGATCAATGTTTTGTTCAGCAGCAACTACTTGGAGAACTGTCCACAAGTTCTCAGTTAGTTCAGGTGAGGGGAGGAAGGAGGCCATGCCATTCGATTTTAATGTTGAACACCTTTACTGGCTCACCATGCAGAGGAGTACTTGGATGTGACGGAGCGTTGTCCGGTGGAAAAAAATCATTGTCTTTTTGGAAGATGCAGACTTCTTACTGAACCACTGCTTGAAGTCTTCTAAAACCTGGCACTAGGTTGGGAGTTGGTCCAACCAGCTCATTTTTAAAAAGATCCCCTATTAGTTGTAACATTAGACTTTATTTGATAAATATATATTTTAACTGTAAAATAAAGCCATAAAAATACTGTAGGCCATTTAGTTTTGTAAATTTTTAAAAATTTATTTTAACACTGTTGAAGCCATTTTATTAACACACAAAGCATCCTGGGTAAATGATGACATGATAGGTCATCGGTGTGAGCGAGCTATATCCACCCTGAAGGTTAATCTTGGACAATATCTGATGATCGACTCTTTTAAATGAAACCAGAYAGCGTTGACAGAGAGGAGAAGGTAGAAATGACTCAGRCTSVAACTGAAAATYTYGATGGAGGACAACAGAGCTGCTTCATGGAAGAAGAACCTCAGCTTAGCCTGTTAGCCTTTGTGCTAGCACCGACTCTATACTGTCTGATCTGTATTAGCTCGGTGCTAGCGAGACAAACGAGCTAAACTGAGGTCCTCCATCCATATTTTCAGTTACAGGCTGAGTCATTTCTACCTTCTCCTCTCTGTCAGCGCTCTCTGGTTTCATTTAGAAGAGTCGATTGTCAGATATTGTCCAAGATTAACCTTCAGGGTGGATATAGCTCGCTCACACCGAGGACCTATCCACGTTATCATTTACCCAGAATGCTTTGTGTGTAAATAAAATGGCCCCATCCATGTAATATATTTTTAAACTTTTAGTTTAAAAATTATCAAAACTAAACAGCCTACAGTATTTTTACAGTCTTTATTTTAAAGTTAAAATATATGTTCATCAAATAAAGTCTAATGTTACAACTAATCATGGATCTTTAATAATACCAGCACATACCAGTACCCCACCTACACCCTGATGGTGTCTGACTCAAGTGGAGCTCTGTATTTGTTACTGTTTCAGTCACAGACCCACCCATCTGTTCAGTCAAGAGTCACTCTATCATCAGTCCATAAAACCTTTGAAAAACCTGTATTCACATATTTCTTGGCCCAGTCTAGACATTTCAACTTATGTGTCTTGTTCAATGGTGGTCAGGTTTCAGCCTTCCTAACCTTGGCTATGTCTCTAAGCACTGAACATCTTCGAGTACTTCCAGGTAGGCTGCAGTTACGGAATATGACAGCACTAGAAGATAATGGGTTCCTGGTAGCTTCACACTTGATTCTTCTCAAATCATTCAATGATTTTTTTTTCTCAACACAGTTCTTGCAACCAAACAGTTGATGGTTCTGTGATCATGATTCAATATCTCAGGAATTTCAACAGTGCTGCATCTGAGAGATGGTTATTAACTGGTAATTATTGACTTTTCAGAGTCAAATCACATTTTTGGCCTATGTTGTTGCCTAATTATTATGCAGACCTTGATATAGGGTGTTGACCTCCTTAGGCCACACCCTCTCTCATCACACAGATACACATAGCCTGCTATCCTTAAAATCCAATAATCATTCAAGTTTATCCAGTTTGGAGTTTGAAAATATGCCTAAAAATGATATGGTGAAAATATTCACTTGCCTAATAATTGTGCACACAGATTATTTACAAAACAAAACTTTGCAGCAGAATCTAGAAGATTTAATCACGCACGTTAAAAACAACTAAATAAAACAAAGAACACAGTGTATAAGAGCCTAAACGTACCTGGCAAAGAGGAGCTGTCAGGAAAGTAGTACTCAGTAAACTGCAGGTGAACTGCTGGAACATTATCAGGTAAGTTCAGAGCTTTGCGGTTACAGGATATTAAAGAATTTGTCTTCTTGTTCTGGCGGCCTCTCGTAGACACCTGAGTGTGTGAAAGCGAAGAGAGAGACGGAAGTTTCATTAAGGTGGAATTTGTTTTCTTACTTATCTCTTTCAGGGGGAGAGGGCGACAAATCCCTCAATTAATGAAAGTAGAAAACAGAAGTGAGCTACCTGAGCGTCCTGTCAGAAACCGAAGGTGGGAATCAGAGTTTCCCTCAGTGTCTCTTCTGCTTTATCAAATGGGGAACTAAAAGTGTCTTACGCTTAAAGTTGACTTTGAAACGTTTTTGTTTTTTGTTTCCTAACAGTCTGACAATAATTTTAGGTGGCATTTAGGGGATTTTTCTTTTTTCCAATAACAGATGAGATTTCACAGCATACACAATAATCC